TTGGCAGGCATCCTTGTCGGCTCAACATAGGCCACACTCCCCACCTCACAGGGTTGATGTGAGGGTTAATTCTATAATCAATATCTGCAAAGTGCTAAGGTCAGTCCCTGGCACAAAGCATGCCCTTGGTGTTAATAGCACCACCTTCTAAGTCAAATGGCAGTGGCAGCTGGTCCCCACCCCACCTGCCTAATGCCTGGTGCTCAGTACTCCCAGCCCTATTTTGTATTTTATTTAGGGCCAGGGTCTCACTGAGTTGCTTAGTGCCTCGCCTTTCCTGAGACTGGCTTTGAACTTTCCATCCTCCTGCCTGAGCCTCCTGAGCCCCTGGGATTACAGGTGTGCACCACCAGGCAGAGCACTGAACTCGGGCTCTTTATTCCAAACAACTGTTACCTGTTGTCACTGTGTAGATGTTTAGGTTTCCCTGGGATGTTGCAGTGCTTGCCCTCAAGAAAGCACCTTCCTCCTTTAGTTCCCCCGTACCCTGCAGCTCAGTGAATCACATCGGAACTCCTTGCTTCCGCCCAACTTGGCTGCCTCTGTGGCCCAGAGGCAAAAAAGTGAACCCTAGGAAGGCCCACTAGCTCTCGGGACCTGGGGGTCTGCCTGCTCTGCTAGCCTTGTCTCTGGCTATGTCAGAGTGGGCCAGGCCTCCATGCCCCTTCCACCGTCTACACCAGGAGGCCCCAGCCACCCCTGCCCTGGCACGTGTCCTTCCTGGCCTTGGAGACTGACCTCAGGCCTGAGAAAGCATCTGACACCCTCCTTGCCCCGACACTCCCTGGCTGAAGTGCCCTTCACCTGTGTGCCCTTGATAGCCGGACCACTGATGGTGCGCTGAGTGGGGCCTCCTGGGCCCTTGTGGACTCAGCTCTCAGGGAGCCCAGCCCTTCTGTGTTTGAGGACTGGCTGTGGGGCCTCTCCTCCTGGCAGTCTGCACATCCTGATGGACATGGTACTGTCCTTCCCAGCCCCGTGCCCTCTCAGTTCCTTGGCTGGGCTCTGTCGTTGTGTGGACCCTTCCTGGAAACCCAGCTGCACTTGACTCCTGCGTCCTGTTTGGGTGCCTCGGTTCCTCTCCGGGGCTTCCTGACTCGGCCTCTTTGTATTTATGTCTCACTCAGCTTCTCAGAATGGTCTCCTGATGGGTCACCCTTGTCTGTGCCCTCCCCCTCCAGTGCTTCTTCCCGCTACAGCCAGTCGACAGTTTTCTTCCACCAGTATCCAGTCTGGTCATCCTGCAGCCCGTGGTCCTCAGGGCTTCATTCTCCACCAGGGCAGAATCGAGGTCCTCAGCGGGCACCCCTCAGCCTTTGCTCTGGCCACACTGCCCTCTGCTCCCCGTGCAGCGCACCTGGAGGGGCACCCGTGTGTCCCAGCCTGTGGCAAACATAGAATGAATGTGGCTCTCAGCCCTGGACATGTGTTAGGTTCAGACCTGAGTATGTGTCTGTGTCCACCCCACACCCAGCCTCTCCATGGCTGCCAAGGACGATGGTGCCCACAGAGGCCTCTGGATGGTTTTAGGTGACAGTTGCAGAAGATAAACATTCCCTTGCCAGGAGCTCAGATTTCCTGTCGGGCTTGTTAGCCCCTTGTCTTTCTGCCTCGGCCACAGCTGCGGGGGTGCTCGCCAACACGGGAGGCACTGTCCACAGCTCTGTGCCAGCTTGCCGTGTGTGTGTGTGTGTGTGTGTGTGTGTGTGTGTGTGTGTGTGTGT